ACTAACGGAAATTTATTAGGCCGTTGCTAGGGACACTTTAGAGGACCCCCTCCTTCCTGCTCAGGAAGATTTCCTTCCTTTTTATTTTGAAGATTTTTTTTTTTTTCAGGGAAGCAGAGAAAATTTCGAAAATAACTCCCCCCTCACCCCACACCTAGGAAAATAGAATTATCTCGTTTCAGATCACTTTTCAGCTCATGAACTGTGAGATAATTCTTGAGTTATTTTATATTGAGTGCAAAGAGCGCTCCTTTTCATATTGTACTGTCATTAAGAAATATTTACCAAATAAAGTAAGCTTGGTAAGTTTTTATTATTACTTACCTTAGAGAGGTATGAAGTACACTTCTTGCTTGTAGACGTGAAATGCTCTTATTTTGGCACTAAATGTTGAAACAAAATAAGTTGGCTTTTTGGAGTAAATTGTTCAAAAAGCAGAATAAAACAATGGTCAAGATTAGAACTCAATGCTATAAGACTAGATTCAAATCCTGGCTCTCACATGACTTTGAGCAAGCTGTTTGACTCTCTGTGACTCCATCTGCAAAATGGGATAATTTTACCCACACAGGTTGATGTCAACTGTGATTAGTAATTTATGACTTGTAAAGAACTTGGAACAGGGAGTGTACACAGTAAATAGTAGATGCCATTGTCCTTGAACTAACAGATAGGAAGGCTGTTCTGGTACAGTTATCTGTTGATAATGGCAGCACACACGAATGATGCTGCAAATGATTAGAAGGGGCTTTAGGATGTTGGGATTTGATCAGTGGATGTAGACACGTAACCCCTTTTTGCTTACTTAGTTTTTCTTTGGTGGTTTCACATATGTGTGAAGTTCTTTCTGATTACTCTCACTACTGTTCTCTTTTATCTCCCTGCCAACTTTCCCTCCTTCCAAACAATCTTTTCCTCACATTTCCTACATTAATGACTTTTTGTTTGGTTTGGTTTGGTTTAGTTTTGTTTAACTATGTTTGACTGGAGACATCTGTGTGGCCATGGGTTTGGAATTGTTCATAGAAACTTGGTGTGCTCATGAATGGGTACACAACTGAAGGCAGTGGCTTTCTCTCCCTAAATCTATCAGTAGTCACTAGTGCAGCAGAGTGAGGTAGGGCCTCATGAGCTCCCCTTCAATCCGTGAATGGCTGTTGATAGGGCCAGTCTTGTGTAGGCCCAGTCTAGGTAACCATAGCATCTGTGAGTTCATGGCTGCAGTGGCTGTGTCATACCTTAAAGATAGCATTTCACAGCCTCTCTCTTTTCTGGCGCTTAACATTCTTTTAGTTCCATCCCTTCTTGTAAGCTGTTCTCTGAGCAGTAGAGGAGATGGTGTAAGCAATAAACTTTTGAACTAATAATGGTTGGATAGACGTACAAGCCAAAGGTATTGGTAGTGACTCAGTTTAAATAACAAAGGGTATTTTGTTTTTGTCAATCTTTCTCTAACCTGTCATTGTGTATGCAAGATCCAAAGTTGGATTTGAGTCTAAATTTGGAATTCTACTACTTTGTTCCTTCGTGATTATCTTTGGGAACTCATTTTCTCTTTTTTACCTGTAAATTGGGATAACATTAATACCTGTTTATTGGATTGCTTTGCAAAGAAGGAAGTACTTGTAAATTATAAGGCACAGTGCTTGTTGCACAGAAATTAGTCAGCAAATGTTACTGGATGCTATATTTCTGTTCCTCCTGTAAATCTTCCTTGAACCATGTAATATCTGATCACTCAATGATATATGTTTTCTGGCCTGAAGAACTTCTGTAGTTTCTGTGTCATTAACTGCGAAGCACTCTCTTGCAGCCGTGATGTATAGCTTACTTTCAAAGAGTCCTCAAGGTATGATCTTTTAGTATTCTTTTGTGGGTTAAGTCAAGTGGGGACATGGTGCCTGAGAAAGATTGTTTTTGGAACTATGAAGGCAAGCTTCCAGCTTTCTCAGACTGTGGTTGTTTGTAGATCCAGCAGCTTGCTCTGATTCTGAAATAGCCTGGGAAAATGTTTAATTTATTCCTGGGGTGTTCAAGTATGCATAAGAGAGGATCTTCTATCAACTGAGAACATTCTGCCTATCGGCAATAAAAGAAAGGGCTAACCCCTAATCCAGCAACTGAAAACCAGGCAATTCTGATTCTGTTCTCCATACAGAGTGATTATTTTCAGAGATTTACCCCATTTTGGGCGGGGGCGGTGCTGAATTAAAAGCTTCCTTATTTCAAATGCTGATAAGAAGCGACCCAGAATTCTAGAACAAGCAGTACAGGGGCAATGGATTCTAGACCCCAAGGAGTTAAATACCTGCTCCCCCCCCAACAGCCTAATAAGTTTTCATGGTAGCCTGCTGTGTCATGTCAAAGTTGTCACAGGGATTTTGGATTATTATGGATAAAATAGAAGCATATTCTTGAACAATGCACAAGGAAGATTGTCCATTTTTGTAATAACCTTGGAGCCCTAAAAATAGTAAAGAGAGCTACATTGTCTTCTCTTGGAACATAGACAAGTGTTTGCCCATTTAAGTCTTAGATGATCTGCTTTTAGTCAGACAATTTTTGTATTTAAATAATTGAAACATTTGAGGTGTTTTAGAATTTTTTTTTGACACACTGAGTTGTTGAAAGTTTAGTTTATGGGATGGAATATATTTTCGCTGGAGCTGAAGATCGTATCTTTTCCATTAATATATTTTTAGTATAACTATATTAGTTACATCGAGGGTTTTAAAAATTGTTTAAAATTTGCGCTAGATCTAAATAGATAACACACTTCTCTTTAAATAGAGACACACAAATCAGGCATATTAAAAAAAAAAGACAGTTGCTCTTCAACTGAGGGCAATTTCAAAGTCAGCACATTACAGATTCCTTTTAAAAGGAAGAAATACAGGCCAATAATACCCTTAACACAGTTTTCTCGGCACTGGGCTAGCATTCCCCAGCAGGGCAGTTTTCACTTATTCACTTTGAAGCCAGGGCATAGTTGAGTATCAGAAGGGAACTAATGGTGTGAGGTCTGGGTTTGTAGCTTCCTGTGTCTGAACTGACTTGTCAAAGTCAGACAGTATACTCTGAAGCATTAAATCTTACCGATCGGCATTGCTCATGTTTCCTGCCTCCAAAATAGCAAGTGCCTCCCTGTCCTGCAGCTACTTAGTGAGTTAACACGAGTTTGCTCAGTTAATCAGCTTTGAGGCATATGTTATTGGATTTTTGCTGGCAATGAAACCAGGATTAGGTCTTTCCCCCCACATTGATGCCAGAGTATCATTTATGTACCAAGGTTAATAATAATGCCCTGAAGGAATTAGTCATCGCAGTAGCTGGAGACCAGGACACCCCATACTTCCAAAATCTACGGCACTTCTTCCTTACCCAGCTACCCTATCCATCTGCAGCCAAATACTGCTTTAGTATGGCCTCAGCAGTCCTGTAAAGTTTATAAACACAGGTCCCCATCTTTTAGCTTTTCTAGAAATGAAGGTATTGGACCTACCTGAAGGCCAGAGGGGCTGCTTGTCCCTCTCTGAATCCTTGCGGCTAAGCCAGGACTAGGGGGAAGAGTCAGTGACTGGTTAGTATGACTGTGGCAAGCTGAAGGCTGAAGGGCTGAGTGTTTGTGTGCTGACAGATGTTAACTGGAGTAACTGACTGTGACCTCCTCCCCCCTCCCTGCACCCCTTTGATGCTTCAGGGAGAGATATCCACCAGAGAGTTACCCTCAAGCTTAACCATTTCATTACTGACAGATTGACAATGTTAAGTTCCGAGTTATCAGTCATTTGTAAAGCCAAACTCTAGATGAAACTTTTAAGAACATTTTAGAAAAACACAAAAATGAATATACTAGAGTGGTTTAAATGAATGCTATTGTGAGTCAAATAGGAAATTATCTGTTCTGAAGCTGAGATCAGATTGTCTCTTCTATGGCCCAGTTTCCTATAGTGCAGAGTAGGAAGCCAGAGTTGTAATTATTGGAGGGCCTCTGTCTGTTTTAAGTCAGGTGGCAGGGGTATAATGTCCAGTGTGATGGTTGTGAAAATAGGGCTTGCTGTTTTCCTGAGTGGAGTCTTCCTAACTGTCAGGTCTCTTACAGAATTGTTTATCTCACATGATTTTGGGAGAAAGATGAAATGTGACAATTTATAATGGTCCCCAGTCAACTTCGTATGGTCTTCTTAGCAGAACCACCTTTACAACTTTAATAGTTGCGTAGGATTTCATTGAGTAGAAACATTTGCTGAATCACCTGCTACTCTTCATCATGCTTCACCACTCAGACTGCTTCTATGAAGCTTAGATGTCCACAGGTAGTGACTGGGGGTAGGCAGACCTGGTAGGGTTTTTGTTTCCATCACTCACAGTAGAGTGACCTTTCTGAGCTTCTTATC